AACAAAATCTGACAATTCGAGAGAACTTTGAGTTCTAGGCATGTTGTTGCACAAGATAATTAGTGTGCGGACCATTTTCATTTATATAGTGATCTGTGAACACAAATCAGTTAAATGACGATAAATTAGGTGTCTATTTACTTGTGACCACTCAGTGTACATATGGATTTTTGGTCCTACAAAAAACTATAAGTGGATGCACGTGAAAGGCTGAAAATATGATACATTATCAAGTACTTTTGTACATATGATATGTATGGTACTATGTAAAACATTGTATAAGAAAATTCAATGATACAAACGAGAAACAACCACACACACACACACACACACAAAAACAAAAACACGAACGTGAAGAAATTTAGTTTGAAGGAAGAGAAAGCAAAATGATAGTTGCCTATTCTTCCCAACAGGGGTGCTCGGGAACAATTGCTCCTCTTCAAACCCGCGTGTGAGAATTGTTTGCTACAGTGACTATAATTGCGATTAGAAACATTGGCGGGGAGTTTTTGAGAGAAAAAGCTGTGAAGAAGATTGGTGGAGGCAAGATGAGGTTCTTCCTTTCCAATGATGATGATGATGAGACAGAAAGGTCCAGACATGCATTCGAAGTATTCAGTTTATATCATATGGATTTAGGAATTAGACTTTATTGAAACGGATTTTATAGAAATGATTAGAATTGGATGGAATTAATTGGATTTGAGGCCCTTTTCAGGAGAGGAGGAGACCATACGGTCCAAAACCCGGATACATTTTGTTGTGTGTATGTGTGTGGGTTGGGGGAGGGGAGGAAACCAGAGTGCCCGGAGAAAACCCACTTTCACAGGATAGACGTGCATAATCTATTTGTCTTGTGTTCTGGCTGTAAAAGAGAACACTATGGTCAGTAACGACAACATAACATAGTGTTCAACCATTTTTGTGTGTGTTTTATTTTTTGTTTTCCTGTTCGCAGAACAGATTGTATGGCGAAGTGTGTTTGGAGCGCTTGAAATTTTGTGAAGTGCAGCTGTCAATTTATTTCTTTTTTCTGCCATTTATAATATTTGAAAGCAAGTTCAGTTAGCCTATTTTTAAAAATGGGTAGGTTGCTGATTTTATGTATATAATATTCTGAAGTAAATATTGAAAGCTTTAGAGCTAACCTTAATGCTCTATTTTGTTGAATTTGTAGTTTTTAAGATTATTACTCTGACATGTTGTAGGTTATCTGTCAGCCGTATTCTATAAGTGGGCGTACAAACGTTTTGTGTGTTTTTAAAGATATTGCGGGTGTGCATTTTGTGTGCTTACCTGCAATTATTCTTGTGTAGTTGATACGTTTCCTCATCGAGGCATGTATGTTCTGAATATGTTTGTTCCATGTTAGGCGGGTGTCACAGGTAATACCGAGGAATTTGACGTTGTTGCTCATTTGTATTTGTGTGTCTCCTACCTTAAGTTTGATTTTCTTGAAAGTTTTCTTGTATTTACGTAGTTCTTTGAAAAAGGCTATTGCTTTTGTTTTTGTTACGCCATTTGTTACACCATTTTAAAATTAAATTAAGTGATTATTGGACGCGGGTTTGGAGTGGATTTTTTAATATGCACCAGACTGCTATGTCGTCAACATATTGAAAGTGATATGTTAAATTGGGAAAGGGGATGTCATTAACAAATATGAAGTATAGGAGTGGCGAAAGGTTGGATCTTTGCAGCATTCTTACCGTGATATTGAATGTTTATCATAACGTATCACTAATTTGAACTTTAGCTTTTCTATCGGTTAAAAAGTTCGATATCTATCTATTTATAGTTTAATTAATATTTAGATTTTGTAATTTATATTTAATGGCATTATGCCAAACACTATCGAATGTTTTTAACATCTAAAAATACACCTGATACGGATTAGAATTTCAAATGGTCTGAAACCGAGTTAAATTTCCTTTAAATTTAGTAGTTAAATTGTACTTTGGATTTAGCAGTTAAGTAAAAGCCGATATTTAGTCAGTTTATGATATTTGCCAACACAGATTGATACACAGAGTTTTCTTTTTTTTAAATACAAATATATTGTAATATATAAACAATAATACATACAATTTACAATAACAGTTATTACAAATAGATATTAAACACAATGATTTATATACAAAACATTTACAAACTTACAAGCAATATAAAGTCCTTTTTCTAGTCTGGAACTTCCTTGATGTCTTATCTAGGGTTCACGATGAGCCAGTTGACGTAGGTACAATTCGCTTAATGGGGACCTAGCTAGCTTTGTCCTTCGTTATTCACCAGCCACACACGCCGAGTTTTCCACGATGAAGCAATATAATGTTTTCGTAAAAATACTAATGTCCGATGAGAATCCACTGAAGTTAAATATATGTAATGTTCGAACTTTTTAAATGCTCCAGGTCAAATATCTGATGTTTCCGATTGATAAGTGCTATAACAATCATAGTTATAGCTTCCGAAGTTTATAGCACACCAACTACTGAGAACTAATAATAGATACTTCTTTTTTGACGCGTCGCGTTGGTTATATTTATAGGCGTGTGGAGAGTTTAGAAAATTCAGATCACGTAACAATACAAAGCTACATTAAGCATTTACATACATACATACATATATTGTTGATTCTTACACTCGAGAATCCTCTACAATTTTAGAGAATAGGCGGGAGTTTTGCAATATATATTTAATTGTATAAGATATGTACACTTGTAAATATAAACTTAATCTAAGCAACGTTGATATTAAAATAAATATATAATAACAAATTCGTTACACACTTTTTGTGGCTTTATTATTATTAAATTATTTTCAAGACTGATTCAGCTGATCGTGTGAGGTGGTCTATTGTTTGTTTGTTTTTCTTGATGTGTTTTGGATGTCTGATAATAAATTGTTCGTTTCAGAGAAGTATAGGAGTCTATTCGATATTATTTTCTCCATTAGCTTTCCAACCCACGGTAATGAACCTTTACCTATTGTATAGTTTTAGCCTTGTTCTGCATATTTTAATGTATATACTAAAAAGAATGTTATTCTCTAAGCATGAGTTTTTAATTTATTTTTTGTTAGGTCTTAAAAATATGATAGATATTTTTGTAGTTGTGTTAAATTATAGATTATACTCTATCTGTTGACAATTTTTAAAACTTATATTTCATTATTACAGAGCAAATGCCTTTTTCTGGCGAAGTATGATTATAATCAATTAGAATTTTTATAAGACAAGTACTAGGTTTTTTAATATGAAAAGGAATAATGCAGACAAGGGAGGTTTAAAATACTATTATACACTAATATTCTTGGAAAAAACGTACGAATGTATTGTTTAAAAATTCAATAAACCTAATACTGTTGTTTTATTATAATTATAGTTGATTATATTTCATTAATCTAAATTTTACTGATGTATCCATTTTTATAACAATAAATATCGTGGAGGAGTATAAACTCTAGAAGATTACTTCTATAAATTTTATCTGTGTGAATAGATAAACATCGATGTAACAAGATGTTTTCAAAGAGAATCTATATGTATAAAGTACAAACATCTGTGTGTCTGTCTGTTTGTCCGTTATCTGACTACTCATAGATCGTAGGGTCGATCTCAACCAAATTTTGAGGGATGAGAGTTTGGAAGAAGGAGCATGTTAATGAGGGTTCTCAATCCCTTCCATCCTACAATATTGCTGTTATTGAACATTTATTATGTTTGACGTAATTTAACTTTAATTACATTCATAGATGGCGCCATGTCCTTATAAAAAAACTCAATAAATTCTCTACAGCACAACATGCACACAGTGTGGGGGAGCCACTCAAACGTCTTATCTCAGACAATGCGCTAGCTTCTCTATGGATGACTGCAAAGAAGAAGAAAATGGTCGCCGCTATTACAATAACACATAAACTCAGCTGAAGCTACTACTCCAACAGCCGCAATTAGGCTGATTTGATTTGGTTGGGCTTGGTTTTGAATTTCATGCAAAGCTACACGAGGGCTATCTGCGCTAGCCGTCCCTAATTTAGCAGTGAAATACTAGAGGGAAGGCAGCTAGTCAGCACCACCCACCACCAACTCTTGGGCTACTCTTTTACAGACGAATTGTGGGAGCCTGTTATGAGGAGCCGTTTCTTGAATTATACCCACTTCCTACTTTAACCCGTGACCTTTCAACTTCGGTCCGTAAGACACTTCTGCGGCTAATGACAGTCAATTAATTATTCACGTGAAACGCTATGGAAGGACATTAAGAGTTGGATGCTGAAAGCGGGTAACAGAAAACACATCTACCGCCACTACTTAGGCGATACCTCTTCATACAATGCCATCCAGACCATCGCACAGTGTATATTGAGTTCTTAAAGTTTACACAAAACTTTTGGTGAGGTAATAATGAATACTCTAACAATATGTTATGTTATAAATAAATTGAGCGAAAAATAAGATTCTTGTGTCATTTATCATAGCATCCACCACCACATTTTTTAAGTTCATAACCCGACAAAGACGAGTACCTCAACTTGTATATTAATAATTGAAACGTGGCTCCTTATAAGCCCATGACTATGACAAGTATATCCTATACCACAAAATACGACGTGATGCATCTAATTGAGTAAAAAACATCTAATTAAAAACACAGTATTGTAGCTGAAAATCATTCTAAGCTTTTAATACTTTCTGACAATAATGAGAAGATCTGTAGGGAGTGGTTTTCACTGGGAAATAATAAAAAAAAACATTCTGTGCTTTCAGGTTATTCCTGCCATTCTGGCGTTGACAGCAGGTTTATATTTAATAAGCTTAAATACTTTCAAAAGAAGTGCCACAGTAATTGACAGGGAAACGTCTACTCGACTGCCTTCTTTATGAGTAGAGCATTTTAATGGCTACTGTACCGTATTGATTGGACGCAATATATAGAGATATGCATATGAAATAACTGTATTCCTGTTGCCTTTTAACTTATTTACAAAAATTAGATTATCATTCAATTGTCGTTGCTATTCAAAAGTATTTTCATACACATTAATCGCTGAATTACATTTGAAAATACTTTTATATGATATTTATATAGAAATCTCCGGCTTTTAGTATTCAAACCTATCTTGTAAGAATGACTTCTTTGGTTTCTAGTATAAAGTTTCAGAAAATCTTTATTATATTTAAAGGAGTGAAATTAGAAAATCCTTAGAGTAGAAGAATGTACCGAAATATTTCCTCAAAATCCAATAGGAACTTTCTTGGCATCTGAAATACCTTCGCAAACTTGTTCATTTGTTTGTAACTTTTTCATTTTTCCTATTTTTGCAGTTTATTCAACATAAACCCTAGGATTTCACTTTTTTTTAAATATCTAACAACCTTATGTTTGGAAATTAAACTCTGACCAGAATTCTGATTATTCCGTATTTCACAGCATTGTATTTGGTGGTTTCGTTTATAAATCAAAGATTGCATAAATGGCCTGTGGAGGCAATGTCAAAAGATACTTCCTATTGTACATAATGTATAAAACGTATTCATAAGGAATGTGTTTATAAGTATATATATATATATATATATATACATATTATGGTTTAACATAAAAATATTTTGAAACGTATACATATATGGTATTCTCATTACGTCATCTTATCGCTATTGATCCGAAAAGAGGAACAGCATTGCTTTTCTATAAGTTTAATAATATTGTTTTGTTGCGAAAAGTCAAGTAACTATAATGAAAAATAAAAACATGTTTGACTTTTTTCTTTAAAGTGAGAACTTACGCTTATTATTTATTGAATTTATCTTGAAATTGATAAATGAGCAGTAAATATGTAATTGAAATAAAATAAAAGTTGTTAATTTGAATTATTAGCACAAATGATATTTTAGATTTAAGGTACAGAATAGTATTTAAAGGTATAGGTAAATGCACGTACTCTCTCATATATTTTGCATGTTGACAGGTAGATGGACTGTAGACATATAGGTATGTTGACAGGTAGATGGACTGTAGATATATATGTATGTTGACAGGTAGATGGACTGTAGATATATAGGTATGTTGACAGGTAGATGGACTGTAGACATATAGGTATGTTGACAGGTAGATGGACTTTAAACAAGTTGGTATGCTGACAGGTAGATAAACTGTACACATATATGTATGTTGACAGGTAGATGGACTGTAGACATATAGGTATGTTGACAGGCAGATGGACTGTACAAATATAAGTAGGCTGACAAGTAGATGGAATGTAAACATGTAAGTATGTTGACAGGTAGATAGACTGTAAACATGTAGGTATGTTGACAGGTAGATGGACTTTAAACAAGTTGGTATGCTGACAGGTAGATAAACTGTACACATATAAGTATGTATGATGGAGAAGAATCCAATTTTTAGAAAATGAAGTTTGGTGACGGCTTGAGTGGGTAGTGAAAAACAATTTATTATAAGTGTACTTTTCGACAATATTATGTTATCATCAGGTACGTAAGAACATGAAAATTACGATTATAGGGTTTATTTTTTATTGTTTTATTAAACTTGCACCCAAGTTCAGCTCAGACTAATATACAGACCTAATCTCCGCATTAAAAACTTATTTCATTTCAAATATCAACTACCTAAACTACGTTCATGGCTCGTGTATAAATATATACATTTAAACGTTTTGGAGTATCTAACAGAACCGACCGTCCACTAGTTAAACCCAACCTCACATTCATTTGTTCATATTCTGAAATCACGGGTCACAATATTTCATTTAACGAGTTCTCTGTCATTACCACAGGATCTTCAGACGTTGAACTATACATTAAAAAAAGCTTACTCAAAGCTCGACTCTTAACGACTCATAAAGCACTTTATACGTAAAATTGCTCCAAATTTTCACACTTAAACTCAACTGTTGTGAAATATGCCTATAATCCTTTGTTTTTTGTTTTATCTTTCTGTTTGCCACGTCTCTTAATAACTAAGTAAACTAGTGATTATGATATTATAGTTTTAGTTAATAATCATCTTCATAACACGATTTTTGATTTCGCTGAAGATGGAATGAGTGCATTATCTACCGTCTTAATCTTCGTTATTAGGCTTCGTTTTCCCATCATGAAACCATTACAGCTATTGTTTTGTATAATAATTCGTTTATAAAGAAAATATCCACATAAGTCCCTTATTGTTTAACATATATATATATTTACTATATTTTCATTCAGGAAAATAAAAGCTGAGAAGTTTAAGAATAGGAATAATAGTAACAAACCAAGCAGAAATACTTACATGAAAGTATTAGAGTTATATTAATGATAAAATTCATAAGACATGCTTAAAGTAAAATGATTTTATTTCTGCAAAAAATCTGAGATTTGGTTTATTTTATTTTTTCTTAAATTGAAAAGGATAGAATTTTAAATAATTAAATGAATTACCCTGTCATATAATACTTAAAATCCATTTATTATCGGATACACAGAGTATAATTTGTTTTGTTACAATGTTCAAACAGGTTAACCTTACATCATCAGGTAAGGTTAACTTGAGTGAGCTCGTAATCTAGTTTTCCAAGCGTATTCGATAATAAATAAGTTGTAAGTATATAATTTCTTGACACTTTGTATGCTACAATATGTTACTTCAGACTGAGATATGTACTGTAATAAAGTTTATGTTTTAAAGAATTTGTAAAAACAACAACAATAAGGGAGCAAAGCAATAATTTGAGTAGTGATCATTTGACATTGAAAGCGAAAAGGTTTCAGTGAACAGGTTTCAGAATCTGTTTCAAACAAAGTCTACAGAAGGGCCTTTATTCTTCTTGGGCAAACTAATTTGCCTCTGAAAACGAAAGGTCCGCTTTCTGAAAGCGCTCAGGTTATACGGTATGTTGTATTTTTGAGATAAATTGGTTTCTTGAACCTACGTGTTTTCCTAAGACATGGTCGATGTAATATATGTATGCATATATATATATATATATATGTAGAAATATAAGATTATTTCAATGGTAATGAATGTACATATAAACTACATCTAAGTTTGTGTTATATCATATCAAGTTCTTCTTTTTAACTTTTTGTTACGGGACGTTGCACATTTTCTGGGCAGGTTTACTTATTCATTTTTACCGGACATAAAAGTCTTGAAATTTAAATGTTCACATACGTTGGAGATTCTCATATTTTTCTAGATATTTTTCAAGTTTAAACATACATATCTATATTAACTGATAATATTATGGAAAAATGAATCTAGAATGAAATAACCTCTTCTAAGATGAAAACAACAAGGTAGGTTTAAATATTAAAGCAAGTGAAATGAAAACTAAGCTACATAGAAATGTTTGTGTTCTTTGTGAGATATTTTGCTCTATATGAACTGACATATTGTTTCGTTAAATAAGAGGAAAAATATTTGAATGACAAAATGGTCAATGGCTTGTACAGTTTCCTTTATAAGAACGATATATATATATATATATACATAAATATATATTGTTTTTTCCAATCTCATATACCATAAATATAACATCCAAAAACGTGTTTCTTTATGTTATCTACTACATGACATATTTTAAACCAACAACAAACGTAGTATTTGAGTACTTCATCAATTTTGGATAGAATTTAAGAAATGCATTAAAACTTATTATACTAATAATAATTGTTAAGTTTTTGGTAATGTAAATCAGATTAAACATGATTTTAATATTACCCTTAATACAGTTAAAGTTATTCTCTGACAACTATGATAATGATGCTTATTTATTTTATCAGAAAGTGGAAAAAGATACATGTGTTTATACAAGAGAACGATACGTTCGTAAGATAGGACACTAAAAACAAAAGAAAACAGCATTTAATGTCAGAACCTCTGATAGATTAGAATCATGTATACACTTAATGTATTTCAACTAGGTGTAAAACTTCATGGATGTTTCAAATTAATTATTACGCATGAGCCTATAGAATAAATGAGACGAAGTCGCCAACTGAATTCTTGACAGGCATTTTAGAATCAAAAGTTTTGTTAACTATCTGTCTTATATTTGTTTGTCATGTATTTTGGAGAGTTTTATTATTTTAGGCTCCTTATAATTCGAAAGGTATGTAGATACCTCAGTCATATACGTTTTGTATTATTGGTTCAATTACTTAGCCTAACTTGAATCTATATATCAACTGAAGTGAAAAATATTGTGCAGGATATAGATATCCAAATGAAAGAAAGATGTGAAACTTTGTTTTGTTCGAATATATGTTAATTATATTTCTTAGCTGCATTCAAGTCATTCTAGCTTATAAAACCGTATATCTACAGTGGTGCCCGTTACTGTTATGATGCTAGCCGGAAACCCACTAAATAGGCAATGTACCTTTGATGGAAGATTGATAATGACTTTTTACGTTCTATGATACATCCGAGCAGAATATTAATAACTCGTCAAAGTAAACACAAGTTAAATTTTATTATCTCTAACACAGTGTTTTGTCCTTTATTTAGTTCTCTTTAGAAAAGAATTCGCAATCACAGATATACAAATAAACCTCTTGAAATGAATACTATTAGAAAGCTTTATAGAATATAACATAAAAAGTAATTTTATGTTAAACTAATATTGGGCAAAGTGTTTTCTGTTTTTATAATACTGTTTATAATTTCGTGCAAACTATAAAACGCCATTAGTAAGTTATGTGGTACTTTAACTTGTCAGTATTATATGAAATTAACAATACCATGCATCACTACACAATACTTGAATTAACTCTGAAAAGAAGAAAGATTAAAATATTATTCAGCTAACTAATAGGCTTGAGACACAACAAGCGAAAGGCTATTTAACATAATACATTGTGAGTTATTCAATTATCAGAAGTTTTTCAGAGACAAGATTACTCTGACACGTGCAGAATATAATTTGAAGCTTTGTGTTTGTTAAATTAGTGATAAAATCATTAAAAATTCTGAAAAAGTCAAGAACCTGAGCAGACATTAAAAACAACAAGCAAGATGATATTTGAGTTGGAAGCCGTTGAAAGCTTGGAAAAATCAACCATTTCTCATAAGCATGCTACTCAGTTGTCCATGAGGCGGTTGGTGTGACAAAGGTACTAATTCCTGAGCTGTACTCGATCTCTCTATCTGTTAAAAGCTCTAGCTACGGCTCTGAAGATGAAATGGTATGACGTTACAGGACGAATCCCCGTCCCACCAAACATCACCAAACAATTATAATTAGCCGTGGGAGCGTTATAATGGGACGGTCAATCCCACTATTCGTTGGTAAAAGAGTTGGCGGTGGGTGGTGATGACTAACTGCCTTCCCTCTAGTCTTTCACTGCTAAATTAGGGACGGCTAGCGTAGATAGCCCTCGTGTAGCTTTGGCCGAAATTCAAAGTAAACAAAATCAAACATGTGCATAAATATTACGGCATAAATAACAGCGATTCTATTACCCATTGCGACACCACTTAATTGGAGATATAGTTTCTTATAAAAACGATAATACTCATTGTGAAGGATGAAATGTAAGATTTCCCTGACAGTCTCTACTGTCAGTCCGTACAC